AAGGCAAGCTGAGGTCTGAGAAGTCGACCAGAGACAGTGAACTGTGAAGAAATGGCCCGTTGAACTGAGCCTCTGGAGCATTTTTAACTGGCAGATGGAATCTCATCTTGATTCCATGTTACCACTACGTCAGCTCCCTTTCTCTGCCTTTGGTAGCAAGCGGTAGACTTCAGGGCTAAGAATGGAGAGTAAATCACTTCCAAAGAGCCCCACTGTGTCTTCTCAACACTGAAAAACTGAACAAACACCACCATTAGACCAATCCAAATGATTCCTCTGCATATTTCTCTGTTTGCATAATTTCCAGTTTGGGGAAACTGTGTTGATCTTATAAAGTAACATATGTTATTATTGCAGGGCGACAGAGGGGACCCAGGACCTCCCGGCTTCCCAGTAAGTCTCCTGAGCATATCACATGCTTTCGTGTGCTCCCCCAATAATAGTCTAATGTTTTAATCCTGGCAGGACCAGCTACATAATATGTAGGGCCCAGAGCAAGATGAAAATGTGTGTCCTTTGTTTAAAGTATTAAGGATTTCAAGATGGTGGCAGCAGAGCATTAAACCAAGTGTGGAGCCCTTCCAAGCATGGGGCCTTGTGTGTCTACACAGTCCTCATAGCCATGAAGCTGGTTCTGAATCATTTGGTTGTAGGTGTGACTCCACCCAGAGGTGCTTTGGGGAAAATCCTTGTGATCTACTTTTGAAAAACCAGCCACCGAAAGCCCCAAAGAGCACAGTTCTGCTCCTACCCACATGGAGCCACCATGAATCAGAGTCCATGTGACGGCTCCTGGTTTTGGCTTTTCTTCACTGGTATTACATAAAGCTCTTGCTATATGATGCCTGGTTACAATTTTTGGTAACAAACGCACTGATTTTTCCCATGTTTAGGGATCTAGGGGAGCGAGTGGACCTGCAGGCCCAATGGGCTATCCGGGAGAGCCAGGATTAGCAGTAAGTACAATGGTCCCTCCAATACTCAGAGTTGACATTGAAATAGAGTCAAAAAGCAACTTTGTAGTTTTGGGTTGGGCACAAGGGGGCTCTTTGAGAAATTATAACTGGATGAATCAGTACAAGCCCACCATTTTCGCTTGAAGTCCAATTTAAAGCACAGGTCTCCTGGGGTCAGCTATCAACATTATGTTCATTAATACTGAACAGACCATCTGTAATAGAAAGGGCATTTTGTGTGCTTTAAAATGAAAGATTTCCCCAATAAGAACTTGGGTCAGCCAATGAAGAAACATTCTTGTTTCTGTGACTGGTCACTGACTTGTGTTTGTTCACCATTGATTTAGGGACCTCCTGGCCATCGTGGGAGCCCAGGTTTGAAGGTAGGCAGCCAAGAGGAAGACACCTAGATAGAGCCCAGCTTCACTGAATAACTGATGCCTCGTATTGTTAGAGTCAGAGCTTTCCTCTTTGTAGACTTCATAAAATGTTTACTATTTTGCCCATCTTCATCTCCCCTTCTACAAGATAGAAATTGAAAACAATTTTGCTTGTTAATCAACTTGTAATTAATTTTTCTCTTTGTAACTTGTGGCTAGTGGCAGGATTCCTTTCATGGGTTGGTTTTCCTGCTACTAATGCTCAAAATGGACCAATAAGCAACATCATGATAAATGGAGATCAGATTGAAGTTGTCAAGGATTTCATTTTATTTGAACCCACAATCAACACCCATAGAAGAAATTAGATGTTGTATTGCATTGGCAAATCTTTTGCAAAAGACCTCTTTAAAGTATTAAGGAGCAAAGATATGACTTTGAAAATTAAGATGTGCCTAACTCAAGCTATAGTATTTTCAATCATCTCATATGCATGTGAAAGAAAACTGGACAATGAATGAGGAAGACCAAAGAAGAGCTGATGCCTTTGAATTGTGGTGTTGGTGAGGAATACTGAAGATACCATGGACTGCCAGAAGAATGAGCACATCTATCCTGGAGGAAGTGAAGCTGGAATGCTCCTTAGAAGCGAGAATGGCCAGACTTTGTCTCACCTGCTTTGGTCATGTTGTCAGAAGGGGCCAGTCCCTGCCCTGGAGAAGGTATCATGGTTGGTAGAGGGTCAACACAGAAGGGGAAGGCCCTCAATGAGATGGCTGCAGTGATGGGCTCAAGCACAGCAAGGATTGTGAGGATGGCTCAGGACCAGGCCGTGTTTCGTTCTGTTGTACAGAGGGTCACTATGAGTCAGAGCTGACTCAACATCGCCTAACAAGGACAAAGCTCAAAATACATCTTTCAGTTCTATGTAATAAGTGAGATATTTTGATGTCTCTGTTAAACTAAATGCTGATGAATGAGTTACTAGATACTCTTCAATAAGTTGCTTAGCCACCAGCTTTACTTGCTTTTAATTTCTTTTTAAAATTAAAAGCAGTTTGTAGATCTTTTCTTTTTCTTTTCCTTTTCAGGGTAATCCTGGCGTGGGAGTCAAGGGGCAGAAGGGATCCCCGGTAAGAAGCTCCCTGGCAGGGGGAGCAGACGTTGGAATGTGTGTGCCCCACCATGCTTCTGATTATTAACGTGTGCTCATTTCCTAGTCACCGCCCAGTTTTATGACTGAATTCTTGGCTTCATTTATTTATTTCATTAAAAAATGTTTTTGGAAACATTCTTCACTTTTCCAGCCTCCTATTTATCAAAAGCACTCATGGTTTGAACAACTAGAAAAAAAATAAACTGTAGGTCAAGTGATTTGAAATTATATGCCTGAACATTTACTTTGTTCTGATCAACACTGTAAGCATTTCATGTGTAGTAAGCCTTTTATTTATTGAATAAAATAATACTTAGAGGAAGGTGATGTTATAAATCCCATTTCACAGGTAAGGAAGTGATGCTTAGGGACTTCGAGGAAAATAGAAAACTGATATGAATTTGAAGGACTTTGCCTAGAAGTGACATGGTTAGTAAAGACTTGGTTTACAAACGCAGGTGACCTGCCCAACAAACTGTTTTTTGCTTTGAAATGAGAGGGAGGATGTTCTTCTGTAGAATAACAACAATAATATTCAGAAAGGTACCAAATAACTACCTTCTAATTAAGGAGAAGGATGTCATGCTTGGTAAAGT